GAATATCCTTCATCTCATCCATTTGATCATTCCGACAATCCAACATCCCTGTAGAATTTTAGTGTATTCTTTGATAACTCATCTGAATTGAATTGCTTAGCAGGAATTCCTTGTGCACTGCACACGGTTACCTGGAATATATTCTAGTGATATTACTGAAGTGTTGTTAATTGAAAAGCAAAATAACGATTTCGAAACGGTCTACTTTTCAGAAAATTATGCATAAATAAGCACAAAGTGGTTTAGAGTTACCGATGTGGATACGAGTGCATTTATTACGTAGCTAAGTAAACGATTTGAGTTGAATGACCAGCAGTAGTTATGTGAAGTATTACTGTCAAAGGCCATCACCATTAGTAGATTTCGTATGCGTGTTTTTGACAAATCTGCTCTCAAATCTGTTTGGAAAATGTTTGCTATAAGAGGGCCTTCTCGAGATCGCGCGAGATGCTGATGCGATAGTGAAGCGATGTGACTTCCATTAGGGCGGTGGGTGAGAATCGACGACGTTTTACAAGGCGATCATCGAAAATTGTTACTGTCGTTAATGGCCTGACATGAGNTCAGCACGTTGGTCGACAAACCATGTGAAAAGAAGCATTTTTATGGATAACGTTCCTGAAAATACGTTCGAATATCGCTTTTTCAAGTCCCAATCGTTGTTGGTTATATGATCAGCACGAAATTTGAGCAATTCGGTTCGGTGAAGTAGCGATCTGAGACGCAAAAAAGCTCACCAATTGTCAAAATGAGACGAATCCTTCATTACGAATCCACAGATAAGAATATTCGAATGTTCAACAAACCCGTATCAAGTAACGCTGATCGAATTGTTTGTATGTTGGTCTCATTCAGGAATATGGGTATTGGACACATCACTTCAACTTCGAAGGGAAATCTAGTTGGACATGCATCGATGTAAATTGCATCGTATTTGATCCCTGAAATTAATCGCATTTTCATTCTATTTTACAGTGTTCGCGCAATTCTTAACGATGAGCACTTCACGACCCCCACTCCTGCCCCCTAATAATGTGGGTTCCGATAACTTTCCGCACAAACAGATACTCGTATTCTGAAGACGAGCCTTTTCTTGAAGAGTCCTGTAAATATTCTAAACCGTCCATAACGACAACTCGCTGTGTCTCATCTTCCTTCAAACCAAAATATTTGCGAGCAATTTCAACCATTGTCGGTTCAAGTTCAACTACCGTTATGTTCATCTGCAATCGCGATTTCATCACAAATCAAATTCATAATACGACAAACTGACAAATGATTCGTTTTTCACATCAATCGT